CTGTGACTGGGAGAAGGGAAGGGGACCAAACCTCTTCTCACTGCTCTTTCAACTGCTCTGTTTTCAACCCCCAGAGAGGAAGCGGTTTTACCAGAATGTGAGCATCTCACAAGGAGAAGGTGAGTGCAGGGGAGGGCTGGTACTCATGCAGGGAGTTTTCACCACAAGGCAGTGGCACGCCTGCAGCCCCTGTTGTGCAAGTGGGCTGTTTGTCACCAGCATGCTTTGTCCTTTTGTCATTTGTAGTAAAACCACGTGGTGGGAAAGTTTCCAGCATCATTTGGGGGAAGGGCAATGTCAAAATGCTGATGATGGTTGGAAACTTGCTGATTCCATGCCCCTTTCAGCTCCAGCTCTGAGCTTGTTCCCTCTATGGGGTAGTCTGTTGTTCCTTAGTGCGTGCTCCTTTTTAATTCCCCAGGATTTCTACTCTGATTCCCCAGGAGGCTTTGAAATCAACCTGGACCACCGGAAGCTGAAAACACCCCAGGCCAAGCTCTTCACTGTCCCCAGTGAGGCCTTGGCCATTGCAGTGGCAACAGAATGGGACTCTCAGAAAGACACCATCAAGTTCTACACTATGCACCTGGTGAGCACAGCAGGTCAGAGTGGTGAAGCACAAAAATGGTCTCCAGAGGCAGAACACAGAGAGAGCAGGCTGTCCTAATGTCAGTTGAAGTGGGAACAGGAGTTCAGCACCTTGGCTGAGCACTCTGGACAACTTGAGGCTGTACAGGCAGCTGGGTACTGGCTAGAGACTGGGAAGGAAACTTGTGTCACTGGGGAGTTTGAGAAGGGGCTCGACAGCATTTCTGGGGACAGCAAGGGGTATGAGGAAGCTGGATAAATCCTATTATATGAGCCATGGTCTGGCTCTAAGTTTCCCTCTTAAGTGAGCTTCTTGATTCTGGGAGTCTGTCCCAGATTCTTCTGCTTATGCTTGACCTAGTACAGTGGAAGCTGCTGCTTCCTCAAGCCTTGGATACCAGTGATTTCAGCTGCCTTTATCCTGCAGACCACACTGTGCAACACAGCTCTGGACAATCCCACTCAGCGAAACAAAGTGCAGCTGATCCGTGCAGCTGTGAAGTTCCTGGAGACTGACACTCTCTGGTAAGAGACTGTGGGATGCACTGGCACAGAGGAGGGGTTGTCTTGTTGCTGAGTGGTTTTTTGGAAGAGAGGTTGAGAGAACTGAGTGAAAATGTCTGGTCTAACAAAGTCATTGCAGGGCCCTGGTCTGTCCTGGCTTTGGCCCAGGGGTTTGAGTTAGTTCAGTCCAGTCCTATGTCCACAAATCTAGTGGAACTCCATGCATTTAAAGGGCGTAGATATGAAGGAGAACAGAGATCTGCTCCTCTGTTGAAATTTGTTTTGGAGATGCCCATGTTGGGCAGGGGGCAGGAGCTGCAAGAAATGAGGATTTCCTTGGCAGAAAAGCTAAGAAAGGCTTGGGAGAATGTCATCCCAGTGCCCTGGCACTCCTGTACCATAAAGGCGTAGGGAGCTTAGATTACCTGTACTCGTAACAAAATGGACTTTGCTCTTTAAAGCTCTTGTGGGTTGTAGAATCCAGCCTGCCCAAGCTCATATCTCACAGTCCCAGCTTCTGAGGTGTCCACTAAAAACTGCTCTGCTCCTGAAGAGACAGGGAAACACCTTGCTCTTTGTTTGGGACTTTGTGGTGTTGGGCTGGTCTGGGTGGTGGCTGGTGAGTGCTGAGCCGAGCCACTGGGCATGTGAGGCAGCAGGAGGGGCCCTGTGGGATTTGTCCCATGCTCTCATCACTAAATCTTGCTGCATACTCTGGCCAGTTTCAGGTAATCTGCTGGCTTGTGTTGTACGGATTGTAGCTCTGTTATAGAGCTGCATAGAACTGTCCTTTCTAGAACAATAAAAAGCTCTGAATTTGGGGAGGAGAGGGGGAATTGTACCCAGTCACAGCTGCTGGTAGGGTGGACAAGAAGCCTATGCTCCCCATGCTGTGGTCTACGGAGGGCACAGTCTTCCCAAGAGTGCTGTAGTCTGGCTGGGAGCAGTCTGACAGCTTGTGAGTGAACGCCCACATGGCTTTGTTGTGCAATGTTCCAGCTATCGTGTGGAGGAGCCAGCTGCCTTGGCAGAGCTGCAGAAGAAAGAATGGGATCCCATTGTTGCCTGGGCTGAGAAAAGGTGAGAGGTTAAAGCTATTTCTGAAGGCCCATAGCTGTAGTGCTCGTGACTCAGAACTGCAAGATCCACGAGCTTTTCTAAAGGGCCATGTGATCGTGTCAGGTACAACGTGGCAATCGGATCCTCTACCAGCATCATGGGACCAAACATCCCAGCCAGCACCAGGGACACCTTCATCAGCCACCTGGCCTCCTACAACATGTGGGCTCTGCAAGGTGAGAGGCTGTGTGGGCTGCACAAGGGCAGGAGAGCTCCTCTCAATGAGAGAGAGGAGAGACTGTAATGTTTTTCCCTCCTGCTGATATGCCAGAGGTGATCTGAGCATTGAGGTCACTGCGGTGATGGTGTTCAGGAGAGCACTATTGTGCTGTTAATTGCACATCTGGCTGTTAGGAGCCCAGATGGGAGCGGGGAGGCATCACTGTGATCTGCCTGAGGGGGGACCACAGCCTGACTGTCCTTTCAGAGCATGGGAAGATGCTGCTGTAATGCTGCGGAAAACAACCATGAATGTTGTTTGTTTTGGATTTTTCCCTTCCAGGTATAGAATATGTAATCACCCAGCTGAAATCTCTGATTCTGTCCATGGGCCTGATTGACAGGCACATTACAGTAGAGAAAGCCGTGCTGCTGTCTCGGCTGGAGGAAGAATACCAGGTAAATTATGTTACAGAGCAACCCTATAATTCAAATAGCAATAATCTCAGCATGACAAATGCACCCCCCCACCACAAATAACTGGCGGGGGAAGTGCCTGCTATTACCAGAGAGGTTCCACTCCACTAGTCTGGAGCACGCTGCTGTAGAGCAACATGATAGATGCAACAGCCCAGGGTGCTCTTGGGGCTGCCAGTTTCGTTTTGCAGAACCCAGGTGGCTGCTTTTCTCCCTCTCTAATCTGAAGTGCAAAGCCATGGATGGCTTATCTTACTGTGGGTTTTCCAGCCTGGAGGCCTTGCTAGACACCAAACTATTATTAAATTGTTTCCTGTGAGATCACAAGCTGGAATCTGGCCTGGTGCGAAGCTCTCCCTGACCCAAAACAGCTGAAGTTGATGAGAGTATTTTCATCCTCCCTTTAAGGGGTTTTGCTTCAGAGCTCAGTACAGAGGAAGCATGTCCTTCCGCCATATTCATCCAGAGATCTCCCTACCCTAGTAGTGCGCAGTCAGCACAGCTCCTGGAGGGCTGTCTGTGTTTCCAAGACATGAGAAAGGAGGCTGAGTTGCCTAGCAGCTCGGTCTGTAATCCAGTTCTGAACTGACTCGTGTTCCTCCTCTCCTTCAGATTCAGCGGTGGGGCAATGTGGAGTGGGCCCATGACTATGATCTGTGTGAGCTGCGTGCTCGTGCAGCAGCTGGGACTCTCTTTGTTCATCTCTGTTCAGAGAGCTCGACTGTAAAACACAAGCTGTTGCGGGACTAAGGCTGCAGGACTGGGTGGAGGAGGAAGATGCCAGTGAATTGCTGCCATGACCCAGAGAGGGTAACCACCATTCTGCCACCACAGCTTGTCTGGGATCAGCCTTGTGCTGAGGAACTGCGGCTTTATGGGCAGCTCGTTGCTGCAGTGCAGCGCCAGCAGTTTTGAGCCCACGAGGAGGAAAGGTCAAGGTGAGCTCCCTCTGCGTTTTCAAGGCAGCAGCGTTGTCCATTACCAGTGTCTGTAATTCATGAGAGGAGCTCCCTTGAAAGAAACAGCTTCCTGGGCAGGGCACAGCACAGACACACCTAGCATATGCCACATGTCTTCATAGCTGCCAGCTCCTGACACACACTTGTTATGGAAATCTGAAAACAGACTCCGTTGCATCTGTTCTTCATCCCTCAGTGTGCCTGTATGTAACACCAGGGTCTCTCTGTTTGATTAAAGGCACGCCTCTGCAAGATACTGAAAGCTAATGTTGCTGAGTATTTCTTTGTTTTAACTGTCAAGCCGTGGTGTAGATTCTGAGCTGCTGGGCTCTGTGCAGGTGGGGGAATGGCTGTAGGCAGAAAGTCACCGAGCAGAGCTGAGCAGGCACTAGCTATCAGATGGATTAGCTCTCTCTGTGTCTCTGTGTGAGTCTCTGTGCTAGGTGCCCTGTCCTAGCAGCCAAGGAGCAGCAGGGAGCTGACTGTGCAGCGCTGGAGCAAGCAAGGAGGGGGAAACCTGGGCTGCAGCCATTTCCAAAAGCATAATGCACTTGGAGCTAAATCTGTACATCAGGCAGCACCAGCTGAAGGGCTTTCAGGAGACCTGGTCTCTCCCCAGAGTGCATGTGCAGCCACCCTTTCATTTAACCTTCCCACCTTTCTCCTTGCTGCTTGCCTCTAGCAGTACCGCCCTGGCCAGCATCATTCCTCAGAAGCTGCCCACAAGTGAGTGCAGCAGCTGCTGTCACTGAGCAAGGAGGGGAATTAATGACTCCTCGCTCGGCTGTTGCGAGCGGCAGTGTGTGAGTTCCTGTGGAACCATTGATTTCCCTTCCTGCTAGCTGGGGGCTGCTCTGCTCATGCTGCAGAAAGCTGCTTTTGCAAGAGGCAGTGACGAGACAAGGCTGCTAGGCATGCAGAGCCCCAGCCACAGCCTTGTGCTTGCTGAGCTAGAAACCTGCTGTTATTCTGGGAGGGGTTTGATGGAGAGCGCTCCTCTCCCCGGCTGCTGCCATGTGCCTGTGGCTCACAGGTTCCTGCCTCTGTGCTTGCAGGTACTAAAGCTTTCAGGCATGATGTGCTATGATGATTTGGTTCAATTAGCTCACAGCTGAGCCATAACCCCTTGTGACCAGGTCTGAACTCAGGATGGGCTTCATGCCAACGTGATGGAAGAGACAAAGCTTCGTGTGCTTTTACAGAAACAATAAGTATCTTTTATTTGCTGACTGTGGCAGGATGGAAGCAGGCCTTTGGCCTGAAATGTTCCAGACAGCACAGGCACAGAGGGGCAGTGTCCTTGCTGAGTGTTTTGCTGCTGTGTGCACCCAGATAAGGCAGCTGCCTGGCCCATGGCAGACCTACTCCGTGAGCTCTGGAATCTGTGTGTTATCCAGCTGCTCCTGGAGATCATCGATGTACTGAAAAATCTCTTTGATACGGTTGCGGTTTCTGTCAATCTCGTCTTGAAGAGCCTGAATAAATTGAACCCAAGTAGTGAACCTGCAGGCTTGTTGGGGTCCTGGCTGCAGCACAGAGGTCTCCAGCAAAGGCTGGGAAGCAGCTTTCCTAGCGGTGTCCCTGCCACCTGGGGCAGACCCATCAGTAACCCACCCCCATGTGAGCATGAAGGTCCCTTACCTTCTCTTTCACAGAGGCCTCCCAGCGATACATGTTGAGGAGGATGTCACACTCTCGCATGCTGATCTTCAGCAGGTGGATATTATGGGATTTGTCGACCATGTTGACAATGGTGTTTTTGTCCACAAGAAACTAGGAGATAATACGACTGGATCAGGGGAGGAGCAGGCACGCAGCAAAAGCCACAGAGCTCAGAACTAGCAGCCCAGTAACTGCAGTGCTTGGGGGAAGAAAATAAGACCTCTGTTTCAGACTGACAAAGCCCTAATCGTCAGGATGACTGCAGTGCTTTTCCCTCTATGTGGAGGGACGTATGGGGAAATAGAGGCAGCACCTTGGGCCTCACCTTCTGGAGCAGGGAGCACCTCACAGTATGTGGCCAGCCCTTGCAGCAGCTGCTGTTGAAGCAAGGCTGCATATGCTGCAGCTCGCCTGTCCCAGCAGGTGCGGGAAGTGGAAAATCACATTTGAAAGGGTCTCTCGCACTGGTAGCACTGGCTGTAAATCTTCATCTTGGAGAGCCTTAGCTTCTAATCAAGGCAGTGACTTCCCCCATGGCTCTGAATAGAGGGTGGCTGTGCTAAACCATAATGAGTCTCCTCCTGCAGCCAAGTGCAGCTATATTGAACAAATGAAGATTGCTTCTCCGTGGAAATGGATGGCAGTGAGGCAAAATGGGTGCACAGCAACGGTGCGTAACTGCAGCCATCTGCACAGCCCATAAAGCAGGGAGCTCCCCCGGGGGGCTGAGGGGTCTGGTCTGTGTCTGTCAGCTCTTGATTACCCAGAGTAATGGGGAGCTGGGATAATCTGGACAGAGCGAAAACACAGCAAATGCAAAACTCAAGTCAATTAACCACTAAGTGAAGGAATAACGGAGGCGAAAAGGTCAGCAGCGTTGCTGACTGGAGCACTGCAACAATCTCTGCGCTTTCTGAAAGGCTCCTGGGATCTTCAATATCAGAGCAAGACTGGGGCTGCAGTGGAAGGTGCATTTGGAATGCTGTGTCCTGTCTCCAGAACAGCTAATGGGCAGGAGAGCTCCCAGGAGGGCTCCCGAGATCACTGATGCAAACAGCCCCAGCACAAAGAAATCAGAGCAGTGTTTAGGTTTGCCTGTGGGGAGCAGGCAGAACCAGAACAAAACCAGCTGCAAGTGCAGCAGAGAAGCTGCCTGAGTGCCTGCTGGGCTGGGGCTTGAAAATCAGCCAGGGAAGTGAGCTGTGCTGGAGGCAAGAGAGAAATTTGCTCAGCACCGCTCTTGGGCTGCTGCCACCAGCTCTCGCAGAGCCCAGGGAAACCTGCAGTGCAGTCATCTCCATCCCACCCAGCAGAGATGCCCAGCAGTGCTGCAGTTCAGCCATGCTCTGGTCAGACGCAGCTCTAGCTGCACTGAGCCTCCTGGAAATCCTGTCCCTGCCAAGCAGAGGCTGCGGCCTCCTCCTCTTCCCATCACCCCCACAGAGGGGGGTGAATTTTCTGCTGTCCTCACCTCACGAACATCATCTGGCAATTCCTCATCGAGCTCATTGTTAAGTGATTTCTCCAGAGCACTGATGGAGATCTCTAGCAGCTTCTCATGGTGACGGTTTTCGAGGTCCCGGCACTGTGTCATCGTACAGAAGATGGTTAAGGAAAAGGCTGAGCACACCGTTCACTTCTAGAAATAAAACTGGACCTCCTGTAACAGGAGGCTGAGGCTCAGAAGGAGCTACAGAGGACGTGCTCCAAAGAGGGCTGCCAGCCCTGATGCAGGCGAGCAGAAAAGCACTCTGGTGTCCCATGTCCTCACAGCAGGCCTCGGGAAACAGCCTTGCTGCTGCCAGGATGTCAGGATTTGCACTTTCTGCTCTTAACCACAGCTCACATCAGGTCTCGTTCTCACTGCCATTACACAGAACTAAGAGTGTGCCTCGGTTTGCAGAGGAAGCTGAGGGAGGCCTCACAGGATGGAAGCTGAGCTCTGAATATGCCAATTACTTGCACCAAGCCACAGATTTATATACGTAATCTGCCACAGGAGTGCTTTGCTGCTCTTATCTCACATTGTTCCAGAAAACATCAGTAACACAAAAATGAAGCCCATTCAAAGAAGCAAGAATACATATGGAAAACATGCTAGCTGGATCTGCCAGGAGTTGTGCCATGCATGCTCAAGAAAAAAGCAAGATCCCTAGGAGGGAGAAAGCTGTAAAAGTCCTAGAGACTTTCCATATGTGAGAACTCAGCCAGAGCCCTTTGTGCTTTCTGTATTTTCCACAGAAAGACTTGGAGCACCTTAAATGGCCATTCCCACAAAGCTGGGAAAACGCATTTTCTGTTGACAAAAAATAGCCCAATTCTATTTCAGTGGCTCAGTTATAGATTTAGGATTGAAGTATATGCACCTCGCACAGAGATCCATGCCAACATGCTGTAAAAAGGATATATGCCTTTAACGTTTTCAGTGAATGTTGATGCAATGACAGCAATGTTTCCTTCAAATTCCTTTATCAGTTCCTTAATGGAAAGAAAAAGAGGAAATGTTACAATGAACGCTTTCATGAACATAAAAGGAATCTAGGAAGAACCTAAAATTGATTATAATTTGGACTCGCTGCTGTTGTTAGCACAGTCAGAACATGACCTACCTAAAGCATGTAAATGGTTTGAAAGCGCTGAGTTTATTTTCTCATTCAGGGCCAGAAAATCAGAATCAGCTTACTGGGGAGAAGCTGGTTGAGCGATGCTTACCTGGTCTCTGGAGCCATCCCATCCCTTTGTACTCTCACTGAATGCACAGTGTGCTGTACTCCTGCATTCTCCTTGTGTGTATGAAAAGCCTCTTTGTGAGAAGTGTAAGCAATGCCTGGGCTTACTGCAGCTTTTGTTTTAGTCCTCAGGAACGAAAATTGCTGCTGCCTAGTGCCTCTCTCAAAAATGGCTGATGGGGAATCTGTTAAGTGTTGCACTTAATGTCTTGATGTAACACTTCAAACACAACCACCCAAGTCCCGCAATTCCAGAAGGGCATGCACAAAGGAATGTCTCTGATCTTTCCTTGAGTGACTGCAGATATATTAGGGCCAATTCAGGAAACATCAAAAGGCACAGTCACGATGCAGTAGGGAATCCATTTTGAGCTCCTGCTTTCTGTCCTGCACATTCACAGCAGTAAACTGCTGCATCTTGCATAAGGGCCGCAGACCCTGCCTGCTAGTTTATAACAGATTAGGTTTTGTTTTTGGTTTTAAATGAGGACACACATTAGGAGCCCTGCCCTAGTTTTCAAGGAAAAGTGAGGAGAAAAAAGGCAGGTATTATGCAAGCAAATGCATTAAGCTGAGCAGGAACGTGTGTAATCTTATTCATGGTGAGGTTCAGCTTCAAAGAATTACATTTCCAGAATGCCAAATGCATATCCCATACCATGCAGAGAGCTCTGTACACAGACCTATATAATGACTGAACAACCTCAAGTCCCTTTTTTTAAAGCTTTGGAAATCAGCTTGGATAGATGTGAAGAAAATACTGCGCTCTGCTCTGAGAAACAGGAATCCATTGCAGCGTATCAATGTCCAGGGCTTGATCTCACCCATTTCAACCTTGAGCAGAGGAAGGCTAGGTGGAGACAGAGCAGGAGCCTGACTGGAAGAACTGTGTGCTCTTCCTTATGCAATGGGCTACAATGCAGAGGCATGCAGCAACAGCAAAATGAATGCCCCTGCATCCTGGATGGGAGGCTGTACAGGTATGAGCCTGAGCCTTACCTCCAGCTGGTCCACCATCTGCATTTCCAAGGTCATGAGTGTTTCTGACAGCTGAAGGATGTCCTCGTTGTACTCAGCTCGCATAGACTCAGCAGTGTCGTGACTGCTGGCATGATGGATCTCATCCAGCCTCTAAACACAGAGATACATAAATTACTTATAGTTGGTGTTCAGCACTCCATTGCAATTTAATTAACTTGTTACATATGTGAGAAAAGTTCCTGCTGCTGATGAGCAGAAATGAAATGTGCTGATTCAGTGAGTCTCTGGATTTACATACTGGGAAGTAACAGTGCTGAGGTATGCTGCTATGTAAACGATCCCATGCAATGCAGTGATACTGGTGAGAAATCTCATCTCCCAGTGCCCGATGACTTTGACCCTTCTATCCTTCCAACTTTGGCTCGTCTTCTGACACATTTCAAGTAAATATACATATATATATATATATATATATAGGATTCTTGACATTGCTGGTGATGAAGAAGAGATTAACAATTACTCTTAGAAAGAACGGCACATCTAAATCCTGATCCCTTTCCTGTCAAGGGGAATCTTGGCTGACTACCACAGGGGCAGGATTCAGTATTCTGAATATGGAATACCTATCATTGCCTGATTCCCTCTTACAGCAAGGATTTATCGCCCTTCAGAATTAAATATTGACGTCAGTTTTGTATCAGACAAGATTTATTACTTCTCAGATCAAAAAGAAATCCTCTTGTGCTCAGCAATGTATTATTTTGAAGTCTGTTCAAAGCACGTTAACAATCAAATGTTAATAGGAGGAAAGAAATACACGTTCTAAGATGTCTAATCCAATTCTCTTGAGAGGAAATGTAATGGGCTAAAATAGCGAATTCTAGCCAAAACAACTGTGAAGACTTGTCTGAAAACAGACCACGTTGCCCAAATTTTGCAGTGGTAAATGTGGAGAAGGAGAGTGCAACGTGTGAGTCTCCAAAACCTCCCCAGCCATTCAAGCCACAGCTGTGGAAGCAATAACTTCAGAGCTCAAGGCCCTTAATGCTTCTTTGCACCTCAAGCAACTTCAGAGAGGTGTTATTTTACAGGTAGCCCAAGCTTGCAGGAAAATATGACAGTTAGGCAATCACACCTTAAGAATGGTTTCAGATTGCAGCCTGCTAGGACCCCTGTGATTTGTTAACATCTCCATCAGCGTTACATTTTGAACTTCCCAATCAACTGTAAGTGACTGTTTGGATGCTGACTATCCCAGCATTTACATGCAAATTGTCACACTAACCATTGTGTCCTGTTCAATCCACTGCAGGTCAATCCATTGCTGAGGCTGTAGCCTACCAGACGAACTATCAAAGCCACGTATTTTTTACAGAGGTTATACTGAGAATCAAGTAGCTGAGTATAAATATCAGCCTTTATCTGATGCTTTCTGGTAAGCCTGCAAGCTCACATCCCAGCTGGAGTTGCCAGAGCTGTTTGCTGCCATGAATCAGCAAGGTCCAAGGACCTGGGGACGGGGTGACTCAACAGGCTGCCAGCTTGTGACACGGCACCTCAATCAAAGCGACCTGGATTTCAAAGAGCAGGCGCTCGTGGCTCCATGCAGTGTCAGTTGTCAGGGACTGGCTCTGCTCAGCTGACAGGTTTACCAGGCTTTAGCCCCCCCTGACTTTTTTTCTGTGGATACAAAATAATGATCCATCTATTACACACGGTTAGACAGGGATCCAGCTAGAAGCGATGCCCTTAGCAGCCACAATGGATGACTGTAGTTGAGTAGAATGTAAAAAGATTGTTTCTGCTTTAAAAATAACAGACTAGAAATACATTACAATGGCTGTACCTGATTCTTCTGTTACAGTTCTTTGAGCTGTTGTTGACGAGATGAACTGAATGAGAAAATGACTTGAAAACGAACTGAATAACCTGCAATCTCCTTTTATTTCTTTCTTTCTTTTTTTTTCCCTGCAGCACCTTGAAGAACTTTACCTTCATGGACAATGAGACAACACCATGGCATATTAATTTTCTCCTACACTAAATTTCCACATCAAGTATAGATAAAAGCTGTCAGTGTTGGCTGTGCTTTGACAAAAGGGCTGAAACTTCAAACCTCAAATCTTCTTCCTATATGGAGCACTAAAATATCATGTTAGTTAATGCTCGCTGACATCATTTCTCAGTACAGATTAACACTGCAGAAAAACAAGGAAAGATCAGAGATGAGTGCTGGAACCAGTTGCCCAGAGAAGCTGTGCAGTGGCCATTCCTGGAGATACAAGCCATGTGGATGTGGCCCTGGGTGGCCTGATGCACACAGCCCTGCTTTAACAGGGGGACCGGGTGTCCTCCAGAGCTCCATTCCAACCTCAGCTATTCTGTGACTCTGCAATTAGGGATCATATCACGACTGTGGTGTAAATCTGGGTTCACTATCCTAATGTTAGCGGAATTACCCTCATCCAAAGTGAAATTGAAAGCTGCTATGTGATGTATCAAACTTAAAGAAGCATAAGGAAAATTACCGTTTTGTTCTGATTTTCAAAGTCTAGGATTATTCTCCTGCCTTCTTCTTGGTTGGCTGTCAGCACTTCGCGGAGGCCTTCATAGAAATCAGAGACTTCAGCTTCTCGTTTTTCATGCTCTTTCAGACAGTAGTTAAACAGGTTCTCACAAACGGAGACAAAATCTTTCCTGTATGTGACACCAGAGTCAAGGTATTTTGTTTGTTCAGTGGAGCAACACGTTATGTTCCTTCTAGCTCTGCAAATTCAAGCAGGAGTTACAAGCTGCCGTTATGTAAAACTCGGTGGTTCTTGCTGGCAGCAGGCTGCCAAGCATTTTGTCTGAGCAGGACAGGGTCACCTGTTCACATTCTATGCATAGGATTTTGCTACCTTAAGGGTACAGAGAAGGATGTGGCAGCTTGAGGAGAAAAGGCCTTGAGGACAAAAAGGAAATACGTATGCTTCTCTGACTCTTTTCAAAGCAGGAGAATGAAGCATACAACCCTATCCGTCTTCACAAGTGTGAATACAGTGTCTGTGTAGTTAATAAATACAGCTCCAGAGCTTACAGCCAGGGTGCAGAATAAACTACTGACTTGGTAGCGTCACAAAAATAACGCCAATTTTTCTTCTGCTATTATCTTGACAATGGAATTGTTTCTAGAGTCTATCGTAGTTAAGCCGTGATGCATTTTTCCCCAACAGAGCAATGCAATTTTAAGGAAGGTCAAGTTACTGGCCTTGACAATGCTCTATTAATCTGAATGAGAAAAGAAAAAAATAAAAGTGCCTGCTTTCTGATGCCCCGTAGAGGAGCAATGATCAGAAAAAAGTGCTGGCCTGAAAACTTCACGTTGCCAGCTCTGGCAGGTTGTGAGATATGTGACTCATATCATTCTGATTAGTCTGTTCCTATCTCCTACCACTTCAATTTCAACATGATTTTAGCGGCTGCGCTCTTACAATCTAACTGACAGAGATTTATCTTACGGCTCATTTTAAACCTTAAGTGGATTCCAGACTTAAAGGCGGTACAAAGCCTTGATTCTTGAAGGGTCAGGAAAGAGGGCTGCTGAAAATATGTTTGATTCTGGCGGTGGAAAGGGAATATGGTAATTACAACAGTGAGAATTTGAAACACTGGAATCTCATGACCTGTTGGTGATGGAAGTGAGTGGTTATACAAATAGGTTGTTTCAAGCTGCGCTGGCCAGCTTGCCAGTAATACAAACCGTTTGTTTGTAGCCCTCATATTTCATGAGATATCAGGCCTTAAAGCTGTCAGTGGTCTCATGGTCTTGCAGTGTTTTTCTGGCACTGTTCCTAATTTGAACACAGAAAGCCTCAGATCTCAGATCAATGTGAGCTTTCAGTCCTGGACAAAAGCAAGGGATGAAGAGTCCCTGTGGATGCAACTCCTTCTTAACTCAAGTCATTAGGTTTTAGCTGTAGGTTTTTTAAACCCGGGAAGGATATGCCTGCAGCAGGTCATCCACTCCGGGGAGGTAAGCCAGTTTGGCAGCTTCTGTATCCTCTGCATACAAGCTGTCAAACAGGAATGATCCATTCAGGTACTCAACAAAGGCTGTCTTTGAAGAGAATAAGAATGATTTCAGTAAAATGAAGAGTGCCAACCTGCTGCCATTCCTTAGGATGCCTCTCTCCTAGAAGCTCTTTGCAAGCAGAGGAGCACTGGTGAGCCGTGCAAGTAACGATCTGCACAGACACAATTACACCTACACAATGCATGTACCAGCCAGGTCATGAAAGCATCCTGCAACTGGAGTGAAACCCATCCTGGTTCACATGTGGATTTACTGCTAGAACTCTCTAGCCTAAGAACAGAAAACACTTTTAATCTTACATAAAGCATTTTCACATACAACCATATGTTACAAGGCTATTCAGCCTCACTGATAAACAGTGAGTGGACTTGGAGGAGGGTCAGAAGGAAGAGCTGCAGGTGTCCTTCCTGTCACTTAACCTCCTCCTGCTCTTCAGCCAGCCTGGTCTTCCAGCAGGCTGGAGCACAGAGCCATATTGTGGCTGAAATCACCATTCTGCCTAGCCTGGTTTTCAGGCTGCTCATGGAACTACGGTGATCTCAAAGCCCTGAACAGTTTAACCATAAAACTAATACAAAGCATCAATTTGGTGTGAAGGAGAAAAGAAGTTACTGCACCATGAAAATGTTAGCAGTTCCCTCAGACGCGTCATTTTCTTAATCTCACATTAGGCTGATAAGATCCTTGGGCACAATTTACTATTTAGCTTCTAAAGGTCTATATCTGCAGCCTGATCGTTCAGCCAAAATAAATATGTTCCCCCACATCATATGTATTCCACAGCAGTTCCTGTCTTCATTCAAAATACGAGATTCAAAGATCAGACACTAATCCTAGCCTTAGTGTTAGCACAGCCGGTGTTAACCTCTCATTAGAGCTTCAAACATCTGAAGGAGAAGTCAATATCTGCTGCACTTCTTCCTCCCAAGGCAGCACACAACCAACCAAAGAACAAGCACCTTGTGGTACTCCAGCTCCTTCTGCTGTGCCTGCTTTTCCTCCAGCTGAGCGAGGGCCTGGGCTTCCTCGTGTTCCAGCAGGTCAGTGAGGTAGTGGTAATTTGAAATGGCAACTTCTCGCTGAGAAAAGCAAAGAAACATTATTAGGCTACCCAGCAGTGCCCAACAAATCTAAGTGTAAGCATTCCACCTTTCCAGAAGGTGCACCTGAATGATATCCGCATCTCCTTTCTTTGTGGTCTTTTGATTAAACTACTTATAAAGTTTCTAATCCATTCCTCATTTTTGTTGTCACATTTCTCTGCCTCTTCACCTACTGCATCTGAGCCGATTTAGTCCCAAGCAGCATTTACTCTCCCAATTCCTTCATCTTTAGCATTGTTTTTCTGTTTGTTTTAGCAGGAGGCCCTGTACTGGCATTGAATTTGAGCTCTGAATGGATCGGCTACTGAGTTTAACATTTCTGGGGAAAAGATGTTTTTTCTGAAGGGATGGCAATGTAGTAGCAGGGGCAAGAACCTAATTAGCTTGGAACTGAAGCGTGACAAATTTAAGCATGCAATTCCATGACATACTGTCTATGAGCAGGGACTGGACTCATGACCTGGAAAGCCCTTCCAGTCCTCTGGTAAGAGCAATGTATACTCCAAGAACAGCTCCTGTTCTGTGCCAAGCAAGCTTAAAATGAAACATATTCTTTGATTATTAAGAAAAAAATGAGCTTGGGGTCAGAAAGCAGAGCCATGGGTTAGCAGTGCTTGTATGGCCTTGCTTTCAAAAATCAGGAAAGGGAAGTGCGTTTGGATGGCACTCACTTGCCTGGTTAATGTGTCAGTCTGCTGCTGAAAGAAATAGCTCAGTGAGCAGCAGGACCACCAAGCCTGCTTTCCTCTGGATTCGTGTCTCAAGACTGATCTCCTCTGAGATTCTCTCTCTGTGATTCCCTGATCTCTAAGTAGTCTTGCACTCACACCGCAGCATCTCTGTGGCAAAATTAAGCAGGCTCCTCTCCCACACACAGCTGCTGACTATCACAAAACCTGTGAAGGCATAATACCTTTGACATCTCTACCTCTGCCAAATTTGACAGAATTTGGCCTACAGGTTCACAGCTGTTAGGTGGAGATGGAACAAATACTGTGCGCTTCCATAGGTCTAATTTCTGCAGGGAATAAGCCCATCGTGCTAGAACATTGTGAGCATATCAACAAAGGCAGTGCTCTGTAAGGAACTCATGCCCAATTTCACAAGAAGATGCAGAAATACTTACTGTGGTGTCACTCACGAGTTTGAAGTCCAAGTATACCAAGCCTGGAAGGTGAGCAACAACAAACAGCATATACTGCTCTTCATCACAGAAAGGATTCCCAGTGAGATTCAGTGTGTTTAAGTTCTTAAACCTTCTAAGATAGACCACCTGTGTGGAGGGGAAAGAGATGCTGTGTTTACCAGTGCTGTGGAGACAGCTGGGCTTGAAATTCATTGCTCATGGGTTGCACAATTACATTGTGGTACATGTTGTGCTCAGCTGCCAAACGCACTCAAGTTAAATCAGAAGTTTTTAATGCTTTGGGGAAAGAAAATACCTAAATTCACATCATGACTATGTAAATGATGGAAATGGAGAGATGGCCTTTAGCTGGGTGGTGGACAAATCAGGGTGTTAGGCTGGTAAACTACCCCAAAATATATCCTAGAGAACCCCGGATGTATCCTAGTCCCCACTCCCTCTTTTCCTCATGTGTAGCTATTTATTCCTCTCATGAGAACCAATAGGAATTTTGCCACAAATGACAGCAGTAGCAAAATGAAGACCTCATGAGTGAGTAACCTAAAAGAGAAATAGCTGAAATAAGCACTTAGCAGCTAGATAGCTTACCTAAATCATAATTTAGGCTTCAGAGGAAATGAAATCCTAAGGAAAAAATTCTCCTCAAAGGGAGGTAGTGGTAAACGTCAGATCTAGAATATTTGATCCTTTGATGGGGAGCAATTCCAAAGCCAGGAAGCACTCACATTTTCCAGACTGGTCAGGTTATTCTTTCCAATGGAGAAAATCTGTAGCTTTTGCAGTGTGTCCATGTGCTCAATTTTAGATATTCTGTTGTTGTAGAGGCTTAGGTCCTGCAGTTTGACAAGGGTATCCAGGCCCTCAATTACTTCAATGTTGTTGAAGGACAGGTCTGGGGAAGAGTTTAGAAATTGGAACTTGTATAAGCAAGCTAAATTATTTCTAGCAGAACACCACGACTCAGATCTTGCATCTAGCCTGAGTCTTGATTTAGAAGTTCATACACACTATTTTCCTCAGGGGGGCTCAGTGTCCCACATGAAAGGCTCAGCATGAAATCACCATTTTCTGGGTCAGGAAACAATGTACACATCTCCTTACAACTGTAACTGTGTGTGAGAGGAATGGCTGAAGACACTCCCTGCAGAGTCCACACCCATGGCCTCAAAATGAGTTCAACCAAGCTACAAGAAAAGAGGTGCCCTGAAAAGTGAGCATTTCTGTGATGTATTTGGGGTTCTCTGCATTGTTTCTTGCAGACTCTTCCCTGCTGCATTAGAGCTTGCCATCACAGTGACTTTTACAGGACCAGCAAATGTCAGCTCCATGCTCACCACCGCCCTGTTGTCAATGAAGATATGCAAAGGCACATACTCACTGTAGTTACTTCACTCGTTAGTATTTCTTCATCCCATCCTGCCAAAGCATCTAGGCTAACACCTACGTTCACCACCATTAAGGGCAGTGCTGACACTCAGGCTGGAGCTGAGCGCTCCAGGATTCCAAAGGCAGCTGATGTGGTTACAACTGTGGCTGTCAGCCCGGCCCCTGGGCAGCAAACAGGGGCACACAGCAGCTGCTGAACCACCAGAACCTCTGGGCAAACTGCAATGCCTGAGTGTGCTTCAAGAAACTGCTCACACAGTGGTGATGTGCTGTGATTCACAGGCGCGTCAGTCATCCGCGCAGCGAAGACAACGGGGCGGAAGAACTCATTTAGGCACTCTGAGATGTGTTATGAACCAAAGCCTCGCATGCTATTTTCAGCAGCAAACGAGGATATATTTACGCTGCCACCCAATGAGGAGGCTGCAGTTACCAGAGAATGCTGTAAGCTGTGAATCAGGAGCAGCAGCCACTGGTATGCCCAGCATCAGAACCTGCACCACTGCATGGTGCTGCCATCCGTATCATGAGTTTTCGACTGAAAGCAGTCCCACTGCTTAGCACAAGAAAAATGACAAGCCTTTAAGCATGTAGGGGTAAACACACAGCCGTCTTTCGGGGATTCTAAGTTCCAAAATGCTTGCATTACCTTTATAAACAGAACAAAGGTTTCTAAATCACGGAGTTTACATCAATATTTCTGAAAGTCACCTCTACATATGAGTAAAAAACCTGGAAACAGCCTTGAAATCTCAGCTTCCTGTTCCTGCCACACCAAATTCATTAAAACCAGGTTTTTAAACATTTAAGGATTGCTTTGCAGTACTGATATTCATGCCTTTCGACGTTTGACAGTCAAATGAGGAAACACACAGACAGCTGACAGGCTTCCCTGAGAAAGCTCCTATCAGTCGTGTTTGAGAAGGAAAGTGACATCCCAGCTCTATTGCAGATTGCTTTGCACCTGAGAAGGCATCCAGCCCCATGTGCCTTATCTTACCAAGCCACACAAGGTGAACCAGACTCTCCAGACCTTCTATCTTCTCAATGATGTTGTTGTCCAGCTGCAGCTTAGTAAGATTCTCAAATTGCCACAGATTATCAATCTGCAGGATATCTAAGGGCACGGGAAAATAAGTAAAGACAGAAATTTTCTTTTCATCTGAGTCAGCTTTCAGTTTAGCGGAAGGAGAAATATCCAGTCTTTCTTCCAAAATGTTTTTTAGCAGATTACATGAAGTGTGACGACTGCCCTAGAGAGCAGAGTGGTTCACTGGCTGAAAGCAATTTTAGTGAAACAGCCCAGTTAACCTCAGCATCCCATCCCCACAGTGCTCATCAGTGAAGCCAACGAGTCACTGAGGGGGAGTTGGCTGCAGCCAACAGTGGCTTTATGAATCCACTGTTCAGAGGCCTTGGCTTTCATTTTCCCTTCCAGCTCTGCAAATGAGGTTTGGAATGAAACTCTTGCTTTTCCCTGCATTTGCAGGCTACTCGTGGCCAGTTACTGCTTTTGAAAGTTACTTTCCTGCTCTCAGGATTCTCATCACAGGAGAACAAGTTGAGGTCTACTGTTTCTGCAAAGGTTGCAGTTTAGCACTAATCAATATGGCTGCATTTAGCTTCTTCCAAAAACAGAATCACAAGGACAGGCTGTTAGGTATTACAGCAAAGCATTAGGACCGAGGTGACAGAAAACACAGAACACTCTTACACCCAATTCTTTTTTGTCCTCCAATGGCTTCCCAGAAGATTGCATTCAGTGCTATTGCTGTTTAGTGAGTGCACTGTAATGCAATGAGCTGCACATACAAAATACTGACACAGTTCTTTGTTCTGTATTTGCAAACAAATACATGCAGGATCAGGTAATTGGAAGTGTGTTCTAAGGAACTAACCTTCTGGACACACAATGAATTATCTGATTTTGTCCAAAATATTCAAATACGGAACCAAATGTTCTTCCTTCTTCTTTGAATGCGAGCTTATGACTGGTTTGGCAGTAAGAGACAAGCTGTGATGATGCTATGGATCAGAAGAAGCCACCAAACTGGACTGTAATCACCACATTCTAACAACAGCTCTTGGATAATCACCACTGATGGCCATGCCTGCCCAGGATTTGATTTGTCCATGTACAAGAGGGCCCAATAGGCCTGTGGCCTGTAGGTGTCACCACAATATAAATGTTAAATAAGAACAACGCTGACAATAATAGCATAAAGCTAAGCAGCTTTAAAGCCATCCATCAGCAATACCACCCAGACTGCTCAACTGAAACTGCTGCTTCCAGGCATGACTAAAAGCCTAAGATGCTCATTATTGTTGCCAATTAATGCTTATTTCATTTACCCTCCAATAAATATATGTGTTCTGATACTCACTTCTAAAACTAAGCTGTAGCTCCATCACCTCTTTAAAGTTAATACCTTCTGCTTTGGCAAGCTTCCTTATGTCCTCCGGCCATTGCTCTTCAACTGCTTTCTGAAGCATTTCATCGTCAATAACATTTGGCTCAAAGCTGTTGTCTGACTGACTCATTTTTAGAGGATATCAGCCTTAATAGACAGAAAAGAAAAAGCAATAATAATAAAACTACTGTCTGGCTACTATTTCCAACTTTCATTGAACTGGCATGACAGTTCCAGGGGATTAAGAACACAGTATAGTATTAAGATCTAACACCTCATAGATGATGTTGAAGATGTATTCAACTTGCATAGAATCATAGAATGGCTTGGGTGGAAAGGGATCTTGAAGATCACTGAGCCACAACCCGCTGCTGTGAGCTGGGTTGCAAAACCATTGGTGTAACTCTAAGCATGACATGGTGTGACTCTTCACACCATGCCTGAGAGTTTGAGGCTGTCAGTGAGGCCAGTTAAAGGGAGCGGGGGGGAGGCCTACAAGCAGCCATGGCGATCCCCCAGTGGTGAGATCCTCCTCGTGAGGAGGGCCTGTTCCTTTAAGAGCTAAACTTGCTGTCATAGGCAGGTTTGATTTACAGGACTAGAGTGTATTTACAGCATACAGAAATTACCAGTGGTGCTTCATAAATTTCGGACATCATTTTTGTAATAGAAGTAAAGGGAATTTTGAGGAAGAAGGAAGATTTATAAACAGTAACAGCGATTTTCTGAAGAAGGCCCTTAATGCAGACCAACCGTAAAACCTATATAGGTGCAAACACCTTCACTTAGCGGAATTCCCACCTTTCTGTCCTGGCTTTATCATTTACAGATCCGCAGTGCTGCCCCGTAGCCCGGCCCGCGCCGCTTACCGGCCCGCCGCCCACCTGCGCCTCAGCCCCGAGCCTGGGGGGTTGCTAAGGAAGCCCGAGCGCGTTGCTAAGGGGTGTCACGTGACGAGCTCAGCCGCCAATGAGCTGAGAGGGGGTGGGAAGGTTGGCTGCTAATCAGAGCCCGAGAAAATCGTGTCAGCCAATCAGCGCTCCAACCGTGCCTTGCGGGCGGGAGGAGGTGCGTATGATCGACGGTCTGCTTGCCCATTAATATTGCAGAATTTTCCGACCGTTGCCCAATGGAGTGCGCCTCTAACGGTATCTCTCCTGTCCATCAACCGGAGGGCGTGGCAAGGCACGGAACTACTGAGGGGGCGGGCCCGTCGCTTGACAGTGATGGGCACGCTCTTGAACCTATGGCATCAGGGAACCTGCGAGCGCAGCCCAATGGGTTGCAAGGAGGCGGGCCACGCCCGGCAAAGCGAGCGACGGTTGGTGATGGTGGTTGCCAGTCAGGGCGGGGTGGGGGAGGAGGAGGGAGGGCCGCCGGGCCGCTGTTTGTTGTCATCCCAAGATGGAGTTTCTGCTGGGGAACCCGTTCAGCACCCCGGTGGGGCAGAGCCTCGGTAAGGAGCGGCGGGGCTTCGTAAAGCCTTCAGGGCCGGCGAGGCCACCGGAGGGGCTGGGGGCTTCCGGGGAGCGGGGTCCTTCGGGCTGTGGGGTTGAACTGAAAGGCGCGGAGGGGGCGGCGGCGGCGGCCTGCGGGGGGGTCTGGAGGCCGGGAGGCGCCGGGAGGGGCGCGGGATGCGATCTGTGGAACGGCGGGGGGGTCTCTGTGGTGGCGGTGGATCTCCGGGGGCTGCGGAGGGGGTCTGGAAGTGGGGGAGGCTGATGGGGCTGTGAGGATTTGGAAAGGCTCGGTGTGGGCCGCGGTGTCTCGTGCAGGCTCTGAGGGGCTGTAGGGCTTCGTGGGGGTTTTGGGGATCGTGAAGGGCCGTGGGCCCACAGGGAGTCGTGGGGACTTCGGGTGGGATGTGGGGAAGGAGTGCTTCAGGGTGGGTGATGGCAGAGGGCACGTTCCCTGTGCTGCCCCAGCTGCCTTCATCCCCAGGGGCTGCGGCTCCCGTGTCTGTACTGGGAGAGCGGTGCGGGTTAGAGGTGCACACACTCATCTTTCGGCCCAGCGCTTGGACTGTGCTTGGGCTCTTGCTTTGGTGGTGCTGGGCGGGTTGTTGGGAATGTGCCCCCCCTGCAGGGCCTGCCACGTGCTTGCTGTGTGTGCCCTTTCTCTCTTACGTGTGTATCTGTGCTTAGCTGTGGCAGGTCTGGTTCTGGTCTGGGATGCCGGGGCCACAGGAGAAGGCCTGAGTTCCATTCCTGCAGGGCTGTGTCACTCATCTCTGGCTGTCATGGCTTCCTACTTGCTTCTCACAGACCCTGAAGGAATACAAGCTCCCCCACGTTGTGGTGGGAAAGAAGAGCAGTCTGGCTTGGATTCCTGCAGCACGGGTACCGTTGCATGTGGTCCCAGGAGCCAAGGCAATGCTCAGTTGTATGCATTTGCATTGGAGTCCCTCTCTGGTGAAACCACACTCCCAGTTTCCGTCATTTGTTTTGTAAACAACAGTAATTCTGATGACTTACCTAGTGGTTATACGTGGCATAATATGTATAGGCTATAGCTATTCAACATTAACTTATGAAATAACGGGGGATTCGTGTCTTTGGGAATTAAAGTGGAAATATTCTGCTGAGTAGCAGCTCGTGGCCTCAAAACCCAGAAGTTCCTTTTTAGCAGCTCTGCACCCATGCGTGCAGACAGCCCATGGCAGAGCTCAAGGCCCTTAACTGGGTGAGTCTCACACGCTTCAAAGGCGGCTGGACTCTTGCTTTGTCAGACTATATGGACCATGTATCTAGCTGGTATTTTTAGCAGAAAAGTGCTGAGAGTTTGGGGATTAAACTGAGAACAGTGAAAGTTGGCCATGATTTTTAAAGTGAGTTTGCATTGTTGTGCTTGGCCACCTGATAACATCTGCCAAGACAGCTGGCTGCTTTGCTGCTTGGAGAAGCGTTCTGCATTGAGCATTGTTAACTGAGGGTGATAATTTCTGATCTATTTATTGTCAGATTCTTTTAGCATCAGTAAGTGGTTTAAAGGGGCTTCCTTAGGACTTAATTACTGTTGAGAGGTTTTAATGGTAGAATATGCTTTTCTAGCCTCTTGCCTTTCTAGCTCTGGAGTGCCGAGGTTTGCACAGCTCTGATGTCCCCTTGCTCTCTTTGAATGAGCAGACATTGCCAACACAAAGGCTTTTGACACAGAGCTCAGAGGGATCCTGCATTGGAGGATCGGGTTAGGTCTGTGTGAGGGGCTCAGAGCACAGCTTCCATAATTCAGTTACTATTTAATGTTTTTTCATCCCTTGGGGGAAGACAGAGCTGCAAATTTTATTTTGGAAGTTTTTTTTTTTTCTGTTTCTCATATCACTGCCAGTTTTCTGAGACAACAGCAAAGACAAAAGCACGCCTTGTTTTCAGACACTGCTATTTGCCCAGTGTAGCCAGAGCTTTTTTTTTTTTTTCAATGAACTTGTAGGACATAATTCTCACTTACATTTCTTTGTTCTTTAAAAGAAGGTAATTAATTTGGTATTGCCATTTAAACATATTGTGTAAGGTACAGTTATGATGTTTTCAAGCAGGACCCAGCACTTACCATAGCATTCACCATAAGGAAGAAGCACAGAGGGTCCTGTGGGTCCATCAGTCACCAGGAAGTAGCAGAGCATCTCATGAAGATTTCCATAGGGCTGGGCAACATCTCTGCGTAAATGCCAGGTCTGGAAGAGCAAGGATGTCAGAGAAGGTTTGGGGAGAGCTGAGAGAGGGAATATATGGGATTTTCTCTTTTCCTCCTTCTCTTTATCTGGATAATGTCTGAAGCCAGGCAGGCTTTTTATGTTAACTCTTTTGCTTAACGTGAGAAAGTAATGCTAGGATGAGCTCAGAGGATTTGTAATGGAGATGGATTGAATGTCTTGCATCTGAAGTGCCAGTATAGATGGGAGCCAGGTTCCACGTCTCTGAAAGCTACCTGATTTCTGCTGGCTGATAAACATGGTTGGCTGATAAAACTGCCTGTGTGAGACACCAGCTCAGCTACCGAGGACAAACCTCATTAATTTTTCTCTAATGCTTTCTTTGACCTGTGGAGACTGAGCTGACCCTTTGCCCCTAGCAGGGTCCCTGCCAAGCTGTTTTGGGAGAGCTGTTAGTTGAAGCAGGCACCTGTTGCAGCATTCCTGATCTTAAACCTGCTCTTGCTGTATTGCTTTCTACCTGTTAGTTGAAGGAAGGGGAGGTAATAGCAATATTCATGCATAAGCTGAAAATCTCATCTGGGGTTACATAGCACCATCAGCTACTTCTCAAAGGCTTTGTGAGTGGATGAAGCTTTTCCAGGTCCCACCAGATGCAGAATTCTCCGGTGTCACCTCGCAGCATTGCTTTAGCCTGAGGTCAGTGCTTCCTGACGGAGCTCCCTGCGAAGGTCCCTGCCAGTGAGGGGGAAAATGGAGAAAGATGTGTAGTTAAATCGTGAAGACAAAATGCTTGATATCTGGAGAGAGGCTGCCTTGCAGAGAAAGCCACAAATCACAGTAGCAGGAATTTACCTTGAGATACAACGTCCTGCCATAAATTGCACTTTTATCTTCCTTTCTTGAGGCAGCCATCTTTAAAGTGTCACCACTCTATTCAAGGTTGCCAGAGCAAATATCCTTAGTGTAGGTTAGTGCAAACTTCTTCGATGATTTAAACTGAATGAATTACAAGAGTATGCAGTGCTGGTAACTTGGTTTTTTATTTCCTGACACTGCTGGTTTGGTACAGGCTGCATGGTTTATGTGTAAGGAAAGAGTAAACCCAGTTACATCAACTGTTTGTTGTTACCCCAGAGACCTTGGGAACATTTCAGGGGAGTGTTTAGGTGTGTGAAGCCAAGCTCACTCCTCGCCTCCCAGCCCATTGTGTGCACGGGGCTGAGCCCAGCAGTGCTGTGTGTGATGTGCTATGGGTGGAGGGACAGGTGGATGGACAGACAGACGTGCTTTGTTTGCTTCGTGGCTCCATGTGATGGGCACGTGGGCTGCTAAAACTGCCTTCCAGTTGGCTCTCAGCCTCCTGAACAGACCTGAATTGCACAGAGACCTGCAAGTTAATCTTTAACAAAGTGATAGAAATGAACGTGACCTCTGGGGTGAGGGTGTTGTTGATCGGGAAATGCTGGCTTGCGCCTTGGTTCCTGTTGGAGAAATGGGGTTTGAATGAGGGCCGTTTGTCCAGGCTCTTGCTTAGGAGCTTGTTTTCAGAGCAGGCAGTGATTTCATGAGGAATATTGCTTCAGCAGCCCACAGGGTTTCAGCAAAGGATGCAGAGGCACTTCACTGACCCGATACTGAGGCAGTTCAATTGATTTTTATCAAAGCATTTGCGCTTTCCATTCAAAGTTGTTGAACCGACAGTAAATACGGTGCTGTTACCAGAGCTGCTGCTTTGTTCCCCCTCCCCCTTCTTTTTTTAATGAGAAAGGTGTGCACTTTTCATTTTCCTTTCTTCCTTAAAAAAAGCCCAAAACCTTAAGATCTTTCCTCAGGTTTCGCGTGTCTTAAGATTTGTGTGAATGTTAGAACAGCAAAGTGGTTCCTAACCAAATAACTACATGCAGAGGTAGATTTACTGCAGGGATCAACCCATTGTAATGCTGTAGGAAGAATTACCCCATGCTTTGTGGCTCACATGCCCCATTTGCCTTAGTTACCTTCAGAATAAACTTACATTTTGCTGTGCTGGAAGTTAAAGTTATCTTTTAGATGAGTATTTCTATAAGACTGGGGTGCAGCATTCAGAGAGCACACAGTGACCACAGGCTGTGGGACTGCTCACGTTCTGTGTTTGAGGGATGCTGCTGGGCACTGAATCATCTCTCTCCTCGTGGATTGCATTATTGC